CATGGCCAGCAAGCCACTCCCACCCGGTCACATGGCCAGCAAGCCACTCCCACAAAGCAGGCCACACCTACAGAAGAGGTTCTAAAAAATTTTGAAACCCACCACTGCTGATGACACACCTTGGGGGGAGGGGGAAACAGGGTCAGAGGCAAGGCGCGAACTGAACGGGGTTTCTGATTATATCTAATATCTGATTATATTATTGTTTTGCTATATTCTTTTTTTCCCCCTCAATTTTTCTTTTACTGTATTTCATTATTTTAATTTTTACTGTCCTACTCTTTTTATTTTTCTCTCTATTCTTTTATGTTTACTTGTATTCATTTTATCCGTAAAGTTTAATACATTATTTTTAAACAAAGAAATGAATAAACCCAGATATTTGGAATGCAACACTATTTTTCTCCTAACACTTAACTCTTTCCCTGCCCTGACTTTGTTGGATATTTTGACCCCATTTACAGCTTATAGACACTTACGGGAACGTCTTCACCTTTTGGATAGGACACACACCAGTGATTGTGCTAACCGGATTCAAAGCTGTGAAAATTGGATTAGTTACTAATTCCGAAGTAATGTGTGAGCGACCAATATTTCCTTTTTCAAAAATTCTGGGAGGTGGAAAAGGTAAGTGGACAAAAAATACGTGCTCACTCCTTTCGGTCTCTTTATACTGGGGTAGATCTTTATTTATTTTTTATTGCCACCAAAATAACAAAAGCGTGACTTTATGTGAATGTTTTATATTGGGTGAAAGATTAGGGTAGGCTGGGTTCAATGGTTTGGGGAGATAGGGATGTCGATGATGGATAGGTCAAAACTTTGGAACCCAGGTTTCACATCTTGCTGTAAAATAGAATATTTTTTTGTAGTATGGTGACCAAAATTGTTTGCAGTTGAGTTGAGTAGAGTAAAGTAGAGTAGAGTAGAGTAGAAGAGAAGAGAATGCTGAATGAATAGAATAGAAAATAGAAAGAAAATAGAGTAGAGTAGAGTAGAGCAGAATAGGAATAGGAATAGGAATAGGATAGAAGAATTGGAAGTAGAGTAGAGTACAGTAGAATAGAATAGAATAAGGGAATGGAATGGAGTAGAGTAGAATAAAATACGATAGAATAGAATAGAATAGAATAGAATAGAATAGAATAAGGGAATGGAGTAGAGTAGAGTAGAATAGGAATAGGAATAGGAATAGGAATAGGAATAGGAATAGGAATAGGAATAGG